ATATATATATATATGTAAAAATTATGATCCAGTCTTCACTTATCAAGTGGGTGCTCGGAGCTCTTCCAGGCTATTGTGGGGTTGACTTCCAGATGCTCAAGTCACTTGTGTATCTGTATCAAAAGGCTTTTTCCATTTCACAGTTAATTCATAGCAATGTGAGCTCTGACAGCAGATTGACAGGTTTCCTGATGCGAATGTTCCTGCCTTTATTAGGAATCAGAATTGTGGAAGGTTTTTCTCTTCTATATTCTTTCAAATCAAATGGTGTGTTTGTCAGTCCTACGTATAATAAGAATGTTAATGAGACCTTGGAAAGATAAATTATTTAATATTCTGCAAAATTAATTTACTTTTCTGGAATAAATTAATGTGATTCTTGCATCACTATTTATATAAATACTCCTATATCACATTAAGTTAACCTTGTAATCCATTTGCAAAACTGCAATCATAAATTGAGTTTTGAAGGATGCTAAAATAACAGTTTGTTTTCCTAGGACCTAACCGTTTCAGAAGAGGGTTTGGACAACAACAGTACAATCGGAGACAATTCAGGAATACTGGGCCTGGTCCCAGGAGAAGAGCAGCTGCTGCATTAAGTGGAGTGAGCCCTTTAAATCGCCAGGCATCGGCTCAAGAGGTAGGGGGGTAAGGAAGGTACAGCTGTTCCCAAATGTCATGTAGAAATCTGCTGGATTTTATGATCCTGGATCACCCCAAAGAACAATCTTCATAAAAAATTTACAGGCACCGTCTTTTATATGCCTGTGCACAGCATTTGTATGCATAGGGGAGCACAGACACATATGCATATAAAATAGAAATTTTCCAGTTGGTTTTGTAAGCTTATGACTAGGCATAATTTTACTGAATCAGTTCCCATGAGTTTTATAAAAAAGATTTTTTTAAAGATGTGTTCTTAAAAGATTTTAAAATATTTCCATAAAACCAAATTCCCTGTCATATCATTTTACTGTTATCATTTAGAGGAGGTATGTTAAGATTCACCATTATTTCTCCTCCACCTAGAGCATTTTCCAAGGTCCAGTGAAGTCAAAGGACAGGCTGTTGTTGACTTCAGGTAGCTTTGGGTTCAGAGTCATACTTTTCACTAGCAAGTGGGTATCCCCCCCAGAGACACTGATTCCCAGTACTGTGACAGCCATTGCCTACGTGCTTTGGTGTAAAATGCATTTTTTTTTAATCCATGGCTTTCCCTTTTTCAAGTTTAAATGTTTAGGTCTTGTCTCTGCTCAAAAACACTTAAAAAAAATTCCAAATATTTTCATTTGATATTCAAGTTATTTTTAAGACTCAAGAGATGGGAAGGAAGGTTCACCATTAAAGTAAATCTTACGGCTTTCTTCTGAGTATCACTAATATTAAACTGGCTTGGTGTAGAAGGTGGAAATCAAGTGAGTAGAAAGTCCTCTGTGAGAGGGGGTTGTTTTTTTCTCTGCTGATAGAAAACCACTCAATTAGGAGGTCATGTATGCTCAGTAGGCTTTTAAAAAAGCACCAAAGTGGTGAACATGATGGCACATTTAATGGCTGTGTCCTGGGGGTATAAATAAGAGAGCCCTAAACTGAGGATGCTGGTGCATGGAGTGTGGTTATTCCTGAAAATAAAGACTGCAATGACTCAGATGTTGAGAGTGGCTGGGTATTAACAGAAAGTAATAAGCAGTTGCTAGGAGGCATAATTCTATGGTAGCTTCCATTTTGCAGAAATAAACCAAGTAGGAAGAATGTGGAAACAAATCTCAGTTAGTGGATGGTAACAGTGGTGGTGGTTGTCCCACAGAAATAAACGGGATGGAGTTTGTGGCAGTTTGTGTAAGTAACTGCAGGAGAACCTACGCTGCTGAGGGGTCTTCTGTTGTGCTTCATGCTTCAGGGCTTGGACCGGGCAATGTACATGTCCAAACAAGAAAGAGTCAATGACTGAAAAGGAACCTGAGCAGAGCTGTAATGCTTGGCTTGTACAAGATTTGAAAATTTTCTTCCCCTTGGCTTTTTTTTTTTTTTTTTTTTTTTTTTTTTTATTTCTGCACCATTAGAATTAAACATTCTTTGTGGTACTTGTAGTTTCATGCCCAGGAACCAAGGCATACATGATGATTGTTGACAACAGTGTATGTTAAGTCCAAGTGTTGAGACTACAGCAACACTGCTCGGTAGAAATACAGAATTATAGAATGGTTTGGGTTGGAAGGGACCTTAAATATCATCTAGTTCCAACCCCCCTGCCATGAGCAGGGACACCCCTCACTAGATCAGGTTGCTCAAAGCCTCATCCAGCCTGGCCTTCAACACTTCCAGGGAGGTGGCATATTCCTGCTATAGATACGAAAGGCCATGGAAGAGACCAGGTTTTAACAGATTTAGCAAGGAATGAGTTTCCCATCAAGAAAATATCAAAGGAGGAAAAAAAAAAAGAAGAAAGCACTTGCAGAGCAGGGTTGTTCTCTTGCAAGACTGCAAGTTGCAAAGGCAAAACAGTTGGGAATGAGAATCTGGGGAATGCAGAGCACGGTGTGGGGCTGAGCCCTCTCTGAAGCAGTTGCAAGTAGCACTGAACACGTCTTAGAACAGCGAGGGAACCGCTGCAGTGTCAGCGATCACCTGCACGTGGGAACAGCCTGGATTTCCCCCCAGACAGAGCCAAAGAAAATACCAAATCAATGCACCAGCTCGGCAGGCAGCGGCAGCCGGCGGAGGGAAGGACGGCCGCGTGCTGTCACTTGCGCTCGCTCCCTTTTCTTGCACCCGGATTGTGGCGCGGGTGGCAACTGCTGAGCTCTCACTGCTCTTCCAGGGCAACAAGAACAACGATGCTTTCACCAAAAGCAGCAGCGGGCAGACGGAGGGACGGCGACGGCCACCCCCAGGCCCCAAGAGGTTCAGAGCAGCTGCTGCCAGCACCCACACCCTGGGGAGAAGGTAAAATCTTTGGTAACTCTGGGCTTTTTTTGGTTGTCAGTGATTCCCTGTGCAGCTCCTGGGGCTCTGCTCTTGGTCTGTGCCAGCTGGGAGTGGCTACTGCCATGTGCTATGGCACATGAGAAAAATGCCCCTGGGTATGTTAGGAAAGCAACTGGAAATAAAACAACCTCGTGCTGATAGTTAATAATTCAGGTATTAGAGCTGTCATTTTATTTTAGAAAGTATGTAAAATGTGACCTTTGTATTTTTATTAAAATCTTCCTCTGTCACTTTGAGGAAAACTTTTGAAGGGTGAAATAGCATTTATTTTCATAAAGGGAGGAAATCCAGATTGCAGCCATAAGCGATAGGCAGGGAGAGGGAGTGTGTGGTGGTGAGGGGACAGGAGCAGGTGACAGGAGCAGACGCTGTGCCCCAGGAGCCATGACGAAGGCAGGCTGCTGGGCGCTGGGAACAGTCTTGGTTCCTGTCTCATTGTGGTCCTTGTGTTCTCCAAGCTTGAAAGGAAGCTCCATTGCCATCCCATCTTTCTCTGCTCTGAGCAGTGCAGGGACTGATCGACCTCCAGAGGTCACTTCTAACCAGATTATTTTCTATGATTTTCTTCCATGATTTTAAAATTTTTTTAATGAGCAGAGTTCAGAACAAACACAAGCTGTTGCTTCATTTGAGAAGAAAAATGAGTTCCTCTAAAATCCTTTGGTGGCAGAAAAACCTGTTGGGCTGAACTTGATAACACACAGCCTCATTTGCTTCTTCTGCTGCTTTTTAATACCACACTGGGTTCGGTATTTCAGCATTAAACCTTAGGAGAGACCTGGCATCAAATTCACCTGTGTCCTTTTTTTCTCTCCTCCTTTGCCTACAGACCTTTCCAGCTGAACAGGGGACCAGCCTTCCAGCAGAAAAGGATGCAGCAGCGGTTCTCCAAAGCCAACTTTGAAAGAGGGGTCAGTATCGAGACATTTTTTCTGCAACCTGCTGATGGTGACAAGCCTTCAGTTTTAGCAGCCTTTTCCCAGTTGTATCTTTGCTTCCAAAAGTAACTGGGAGAGATGGATGACTTTAACAATTAATATTTTCCTAGGAAAGTATTTGCAGGCCAGGCAATTTTTAATGCAGCTTAATATTCTGCCAGCTGGAAAATAAAACCTGGGCAGGTACCTTGCAGCTTATACAGCAGCACAAGCAGGGCAAAGTAAAGCCACCCCATACAGATCGTTGTGCCAGCAGGAAACCCAAGATTAGCAACTTTCTTGAAAACATACAAGGAATGAGCTATTCAGATACACCAAATGAAATACTGGGAAAGGAATCATTGTTTCTGAGAGCTAAGCCTTTAAGTATTTTTTTTTTTAAATATATTTCACAGCAGATGGATGCTAACGCAGAAGGGAAACCACGAAGGATGAGAAGGTAACTGGTGAACAAAGGCACGCCGCAAACACGACGTGCTCTTTCACGCTCGAATCGAAGCTGGATACATCTCCCTGTCTCGGCAGGTGGCAAGTGAAACCCAGCCCCGGAGCAGTTCTGACGGTTTCTGTGGCTAATCCCCAGGCGGGCCAGGCCGGCACGTAAGTAAATGAGGTGATTTGTTAGGATGGGAGCCCTACAAAAGCCATTGCAAATCCCTTTAGCATTATTGCAGCTTCACTTCTTTTATAATGAGTGTGCAATGAATGGTTCAGACCCAAAATGGTTAGTAAATGATGTCTCGTTCCCTTCCTGGCATATCTGAAAGGAGATGGTAATTACTGTGTGGCTCATTTGTTATCCAGAGCCAGGAGAAATGGAAGTGCTGGCAGTGCACGGGAGGTGGCAGGATGGTTGTGCTCACTGTGGGGTGTCACGAGGGAAATGCATTGTGCCCAGAAGGGACACAGCATCCTCACGGTGTAAGAGGAGCACAGAGGATGGAAGGGGGCAGCTGCAGGACCTGGCACCCAGCTAGGGGTGGAAAGAAGGGTGGGGGAGGGCAATTGGCACGTCCTGGGTGCAGAGAGCACCCCATGATAGCCTTGACATGACACAGTCCCCAGTGCTGGAACTCTGCCTGCACTCCAGCTCTCCTGGCACCTTTTAGACTCACCCCAGCTGCCGTGAGACCTGCAGTGGGACGTATGGGGCGTGTGGGTGTCTCCTTTACACCCTGCTGGTTTGCAGGCGATAGGGTGGGAGCTTTTAGCATCCCGAGTGACTGCAGATCTGTCCTTTTCCCAGGCCCAGATCCAAGCGCCCGTTCCTGCGAAGCCAGAGGCCCCCACCACGGGCCACCAAGCCCCAGCCCAGGGGGGTACTGCTGAGATTCAACTTCCGTGCGATGGCCAACCAGGTAGAGGATTGTCGACGGGACAGGCAGCACCTTGCACCCTGCAGCAGCCCTGCCGCTAAGATGTTAACATCACGCTCAGGTTTTTGGGGCTGCCAGCTGGGTTTATCTAGCATAACCTGTGAGGAAAGTCCTGTAGCCGTGTTGGCGAGGTTGCTCACAAAAATGAAGGCACCCGAGAAGACTGTTCAGCAACTACAGATTCAGCCCAATTTTCCCCACTCTTTTCGCCCCTCTTGGCCTATCTATGTGCTTGCTCAGCGCAGGGAGATGCTCCTTGTGAGCAGTCCTGGCCAAGGGAGACCGTTTCACTGTTGGTGCTTCCCACTCCTCAGAGACACACAGCACTTCTGGGCTTTGCTCTTCCTTTGCTTTGGTGATCTTCTCAGTGCCACGTTTTATGCTGAAGTGTGGTCTAAGAGCCTCGGGGCAGGTCAGAAATCCTGCTCCACCTTCTTCATTGCCAGTGTTTTGTGTCTGGACAGTTTGGTTTTACTTGATGTCTTGTACTCAAATGCCATCTGCTTGCTCCTGTTCTTGCCAAGGACACCTGGTGTCTTGGGGCTGGGTGCTGCTTGGAGGTTTTCCAACCACACACAGTCTGTTGAGCTTCTTGTCTCCGTGTGCTGAGTGGTTTAATTGACTAACTGGCTGTGAAGCACCGTCCTGAATGATGGGCTCTAATCAATACCCTGCTACAAGTTTGGTCGTGCTTCGCCAAGAGATGTGGGACTGACTTGCTCTCCCTTTCCCCTGCAGACCAGCCTGACGCTGGATGAGAGGTTCTCTGGTCTGAGGAATAAGAGGCGCTTTACAGCAGCCAGGAGCGCCAACCGGACGGTCACCATGCCTTAGCACCACATGCTCGTCGCAGGGACTGCCCGTAACAGTCCAGGCCCCGTAATGGCCAGCTCAATAAAACTTGGTAGATTTCCTCTGAGATAGATAATATGGCAATGTGCCGTCTCCTTCCTTACACGCAGAGTGAATGAGCGATTGAGGGCAGGGACAAGGCAGGAGAAGAGTCGGGGCCAGAGCACAGGGCAGGTGGGACATGAGTGGGGTGCTGGAGAGGGATGAGTGGAGATGGATTTGCTGGGAGTGCTGTGCTGGGGAGCCACAGGGCTGGCACAGTCCTGTCCCCCTGCCAGGGCACCCTGTGCTGCCTGGGGTGGCTCCTGCAAGAGGGAGGATGGGCCAGCTCCAAGCCATTCCTGTGGAGCCTTCCCTGCCTTGTCCCATGGGTGACAGTTGAGGACACTGTGCCTGCTCACATTGGAGACAGAGCAGGGGGTGGAGCATGTGTGGGGCTGAGGGATATGCCCCAGGAGTGGCACCAGTGGGGATGCTCCAGCTGCCTGCATTCTCCAGCATCCACCTAGTTGCTCAGTTTGTTGTGCGTGCAGACATCCCTGCCTGGAGGTTTGCAGTGTAAGGCCTCTCCATCCTGAAAACGTTTTGCTCTGCCCCCATAGTCAGGCCTGAGCACCTTGCATTTCTCTTTGGTTTGCTGTGCTGTTCTGACTGCTGCTGCCAGCCTGGTTGCAGGGACAGGGTGAGCTGTGCTGTGCCACTGGAGTGTTAGAGGCAGAGCACAGCCAGTCTGCCCCAGCCCAAACCAGGTTTTCCAGTGCTGCAGTAGTTCTGTATTAGGGATTTCGTAGGTGCAGCTCCATCCACGCTCAGAGCACCAGCCTGGTGGAACTAGCAGCTGCAGGAGGGAAGCCAGGCTCTACAGTGGTCTGATGAACATTGGCTGAGATGTTAATGAGCTGGGTCTAGACATTTGTTAACGAAGCCCTGCACCAACCAGGAGTCACTGATCCATTCTCCACCCATTGCTGCAAGCCAGTACTGAACGTGCTGGACACAGCCTGTTACTGGGCTCTAAGCTGTACTTATTAAAGGAAATATTTGATAGGTTGCTTTACATTTTACACTGAGCGTCTTTAACAAGAGACTGGACTCGGCCTTGGTTTTGTAGGAATGTGTGAAATGTTGTTAGTTGACAAAGTGGTGATGTATGAGTCCAATGCACTGAATAAAAACCTAACTTGTCAAATGTCACATCTGATTATTTCCCTTCCTTCAACAGGCTTTTGGTGCAAGTTCAGCCTCTGAGCATGGCACTGCAGGGCACAGCACACACGGCTGCATGGGCTGCTGCCTCAGTGCTTTGGGGTCCCTGTGGGTGCCCACCCACAGGCAGTGGGGCACTAGCCTGGCCATACAGGCAGTTTGCTGCTCGCAAAGCTGGCTCCAAAGCACAGCCCAAGCAGCGGTTTCCAGTAGATATTTTGTAAAATCTTCATTGCAATATCTTTTTTTATCAGCAAAACTATCAGAGCAGACCTGGCTCTGAGTGTGTCCAAAGCAAAACAAATGCAAACTGCTTTCTAGGTTAATGAACTCAGGAGAAGACATGACCCCTTCATGCCAATAATCAGGATGTCATGGAAGATGAACAAGAAACACTGTCACAAATGGCAATATCCCTGGTTCCAGTTGCGCCTTCACTATAACTATTGACAGAAAATGTTAAACTCGCTAAGAAAACTGGTCACTTCTTAAATCAGGTTGCAAAGGGATGGAGCCGTTCAGTCGTGAAAGAACAGCTGAGTGTGCAGCATCCCCTCGGTGTTCAGAGCACGTCCTGATACTATTCTCCAAATACATGTTTTTAATACAAAAATACAAAAAAAATGTACCTTACATTTTTTTTAAGTACTTCTTAAATTAAATTGCAAGCTTAATGAGAAAAATTACACTTTTTTTCTAGCCTGATTCCCCTCTCAGGGCTGGGTGACTTTGCATGCAGCAAGAGACAAAACAGGCTTTGCACAGAAGGGCGCTGAATTTTTAAGTAGCAAAAAAGAATAACCATCGTGCTGAAAACACACTGGGAGAGGACACAGAGTTGACTCCAATAGGCATAAAATACCCCTTTCTGCCACAATACTAAAACCACAGAATAATTATCTCTAAAATTATCCCTGCTGTCATGCGCAGGGTGAGCTGCTGCGCAGAGCCCGGCTGCTCTTTGGGAGGGTGTTGGTGTGCCGCAGCTCAGCCTGATTCTTTAGCCATTGCTGGGGAGGTGTGTTTGTCCAGTTGGGCTGTTCTGATGGTTTGGGGGTGTTCCAATGACAGTGTCTGGTGCCACACAGGCGGTCTGGCGGTCCCCTACCCGGAAGGTGGCAGCAACCCCCACCGTGACGGCTGCTCTCAGGCTGGGGCCACTGGAAAGGGGCAGCTTTGCAACCTGGAAAACATTTTTACTCTATTTCAGGCCAGTCAAAACCATCTCCAGAATAACACCTCTGATGGTGTCTGAGAGGTTTAAAAATGTAGGAGCAACTGTACAGGGTCAGAAGAGAGTCCCTGTCATGTATCCCAGGGGAGGGGGGACACCAGCACACACGTGTGGCCCTGGTCGGTCGCTGCACTGAACCCACTTGTATCACTGTGTTTAACAGCATGTGGTGGGGTTTTGTTTCACTATTGTTTTTGCTTTCTCTCTATTTGTCTGTGCCTCCAAAGGCTGGTATTACAAGTGAATATTCATTCCTTTACACCCTTTGCATTTTCTAGACCTGTGCTGTGTTCTCCCTTGCTCACATTTCTAGAAGAGCCTCTGTGTATCTGCTTGTCCAGTGCCTGGAAGCTGATCCATCCCTCTGGTCACCTTTGTACCTTTTCTAGCTCTGCTACATCTTCCTGAGACAGCAGGGCTGAAGCAGACATGATATTTGAGATGGATTTGTAGGCAGGCGTTGCTTTGTTTTCTGTTCCTCTCCTAATAATTCCTAACATTCCAGTTGCTTTTTAACCCAGAATAACCACTTGGAGTAAGAAATGGTAAGACACATTTATACTGGTTTAATGAAACAACTTCCCAGGGAACGTTTTCTGCAGAAGCTGGTCTCACAACGTGTATCAGTGGTAGAGAGGACACCTGGAAGGCTGGCTGCAAGGGGACAAACCCAAGGGTCCGACTTTCCCATCTAAGGACTAGCGCTGACGTTTGGTATTTTCTTAGCTGTTCATGGGATGTCTGGTTTGATGCTACAAGCTACCTTTAATGAGCTTAACAGAGTGTAGAAGGCCAGCTTTCCCTGCAAATTTCCTTGTTTGTCAGTTCTTGACGATTTTAGTGTTGTATGAGCAGCAGCAGATGTGCATCAGGTTACTCTCCAGTATTTTGGGGCATGCATATTGCCAAGCTAGCAGAGGGCAGGGTCCCAAAGTGGTGCCCCAGGAGCAGCATGGCAGTAAGGGTCTCAAGAATAAAAATGTGTGGTTTGGGGCAGACTTATCAGTCAAATCCATCCTGGTAACAAAGCAGCAGCCAAGGCATCACACGTGGGCTGACAGTCTCTCCTGCATTGCACAAGGGTCCTTGTGCCAGCATTTGTTAGACTGGCTGCGAAACAGAGTCAGGTAGGGCATGAACTTGCTGCCCAGACTCAAAGGTGCAGGGGAAAATGTTTGGTGGAGCCTGCTGTCAGCAGCAGTTGTTGTTAGTTTTTAGGGGTCCTTGGAGGGATTCAGATAGCCAGAAACCACAAGCAAAATATTTAAACAGAAACCTGACATCCAAACAGCATCTTGGGCACTGTGGTTCCATCAGGGGTTGGGATATACTGACCTACAGGCAGAACATTTGCCAGGTAGCAACCCAGCAGAAAAGAGAGTCACAATAAGCTGAGAAGAGACAGGCAAACCCCTGGGGTGAAGTGTAAGGGGTGTCCCAAACTGGACCCCAGACAGCAAAACAACCTGGAGGGGGAAACAGTCTGTGGGAGGTTGAATGGTACTTTATCAACTAACTTATTTCCAGAAATCTCATCTCGTTTCTGAGCAAACCAACATACAACCCCAGCACAGCACTAGGTGAGAAAGGGATTTAGGGAAATGTTACAAGCCTGAAAGATTTACCACAATTTCCTAGAGAACCACAAAAGCTAACAGCATCACTCCAGACAGCACCAGGCAATCCCAGCCCCTCCAGTTAAGGCATTGCAATGAGCAGGGTGCCCTGTTTTCAGGGCTAGCCCTGCTCCAAGCCGGTGTTAGCTTTGTCAGGAACCCGCACCCCACGTTAGGTGCAGAGACTTGGCTCCACTTTGTACCCTGGAAAAGGGATAGTCTCTCCCAGAGCTCGACTAACAGGCCCTTAACATCCATTTGCAAGACAGAGAGTTATTTTTCCCCATTGCAGGTTTCATTCACTGAGATCTTATTCCCACTGTTCAGCTGGATAAACTCTGACCACTTTTCTAGGCAACGTAACAAAGTGCTAAAATGTGGAGGCAAAAGGAATAGAAAATTCAAATTTGGGCTTTACCCACTCAAGATGAGGGGTTTAGGATTCAGTAGTAAACTGTGTCCTAAAGCAGATCTTTCCTAGCTATTTCAGGACTGCTGCCAGCTTTCATGATTTTACTGAAAGTCCTGTGATGTTTAATGGTGCAGTTAAAACCCTGGCTCCTGGAGGCAGGTCAGGAGGTGAAAATCTCAGCTTGCCTGTATTAAAAAGTCAATTTGCAATGCTGTGGCTGTTCGGGGAAGACTGTGACCCAAGAGTAACTTAAAAGCTTGGGCGTCAGATGCCAAAAAGACAAGGATCCTCTTAATTTTTTTTTTTTTTTAACATCATGTTTTTAAGTCAGAGGCACATATGCCTGAGAAACATAAGATTTGCTCTTTCTGTAGGTCAAGACTGGAGAAGAGGATGTTCATCTCTAAATTACACCAGGCTGCAACTATTAACCCTCCTCTTGCTGAGCTCCAGGAGGAAGATGACAGGGTGCAAGTTCCCCACCTTGTGCCCTCAGACGAGCAATGGCCCTGTT